GTAACCAAACAGCAGCAGGGGTGGCAATATTGATATCAGACAAAATAGACTTTAAATTAAAATTTATTAAAAGAGATGAAAAAGGACCATATATTAACAAAAGGGATAACTCTTCAAGAAACAATAACAATCATAAATATATACGCTCACAACAGCTATGAACCAAAATTCATGAAACAAATACTGACAAAGTTGAAGGGAGAAACAGACAACTCTGCAATAATAGTTGGAGACTTCAATGCACCGTTGTCAACACTGGACAGAACTTCCAGAAAGATGATTATTAATGAAATGGAGGACCTGAACAATGCCTTAAATCAATCCAATCTAATAGACATATATAGAACTCGCCACCCATCCTCAGAACAATAAACATTCTTCTCTAGTGCACATGGGACGTTCTCCAGGATAGACCATATGTTAGGCCATGAAACAAGCTTCTACAAATTTTATAATACTGGAATAATACAAAGTATCTTCTCCAATAATAAAGGAATTAAACTAAAAATTAACAACACAAAGAAGGATGAAAAACAAACAATTATATGGAAAATAAACAACACACTACTAAAAAACTATTGGATAAGGGAAGAAACCAAAAAAATAATAATAATAATAATTGAGGCTAAATGAAAATGAAAACATAGCATACCAAAATCTACGGGATGCAGTGAAGGCAATCATCAGAGGGAAATTTATAAGTATAAATGCCTATATCAGAAACGAAGACAGATCACAAGTCTATAGCCTGACTTTACAACTTGAGGAACTAGAGGAACAAGAGCAAACTAAGTCCAGAACTACTAGAAGGAAGAAATAATAAAAATCAGAGCAGAAACAGAGAGTAGGAAAAAAAAAATAGAATCATCAAAATCAAAAGTTGGTTGTTTGAGAAGATAAATAAAATTGACAAACCTTTAGCTAAGCTAAAAAAGGGAAAAAATGAGAGAATGCAAATAACCAATATGAGGAAACAAAGTGGAGACATTACAACAGAGCTGAAAGAAAAAAGCTAACAACAGAATATTACAAAAAGTTATACCCCCAAAACTTGATAATTTAGATGAAATGGACAAATTCTTAGAAACACATAACCTACCTAACCTAACACAAGAAGAGGTAGAAAACCTCAACAAGTCCATAACTAGAGAAGAGGTTGAACTAATAATCAAACACCTCCCAACAACATCAACAACACACACACACACTCACACACACACACACACACGCACAGGCCTGGATCAGATGGCTGCACTGAGGAATTCTACTAAACATTCAGAGAACAATTGACACCAGTCCTGCACAAAAGCTTCCAAAATATAGAAGAGGAAGGAATACTCCCTAATTCATTCTATGAAGCCAGCCTTACCCTGCTACCTAAATATGACAGACTCTACAAGAAAAGAAAAATACAGACCAATATCCCTCATGAACATAGATGCAAAGATTCTCAACAAAATACTAGCAAACAGAATCCAATAACATATTAAAAGAATCATACACCATGATCAAGTGTGATTTATTCCAGGAATGCAAGGATGGTTCATTAGAAAATCTATCAATGTAATACACCACATTAATAGAGCAAAGAAAAAAAAATGTTCATCTCAATAGAAGCAAAAAAAAAAAAAAAAAAAAAAAAAACTTGATAAAATCCAACCCAATATCCTTTCCTGATAAAAACTCTCAACAAAATAGGAATAGAAGGGAAGTTCCTCAACATGTTTAAAGATATCTGCGAAAAACCAATACCTGACATTATATTCAATGGAGAAAGACTGAGATCCTTCCCCTTGAGAATGGGAACAAGACAAGGATGCCTGCTCTCACCACTTCTATTCAACATTGTACTGGAAGTCCTAGCTAGAGCAGTAAGGTGAGAAAAAGAAATAAAGGGAATCCAAATTGGAAAATAAAAAGTAAAATGACCTCTATTTGCAGACAACATGACCTATGTCTATAAAATCCCTAAGAATCTACAAGGAAGACTTTAGAACTCATAGAAGAATTCAGCAAAGTTTCAGGGTAAAAGATTAACACATAAAATTCAGTTCGGTTTTTATACACCAGCAAGGAGAAACCTGAGAAAAAAAAGAATCAAGAAAGCAATTTCCTTTACAATAGTACCCCAAAAAATTAGAGACCTAGGAATAAACCTAACCAGAGATGTAAAGGACCTATACCATGAAAACTATAAAACACTGACACAGAGACTGAAACAGAGCTAAATAACTGGAAATACATTTTGCACTCATGGATTGGCAGACTTAATATTGGAACGATGTCAACACTACCCAAAGCAATATATAGATTCAATGCAATTCTGATCACAATTCCAACAGCATTTTTTACAGAAATGGAAAAACTAGTCCTCAGCTTTATACGGAAAGGCAAGAGGTTGTAAATAGCCAAACCAGTTTTGAAGAAGAACAAAGTAGGAGGCCTCACACTTCTCGATTTAAAAATACACCATAAAACTACAGTAATCAAAACAGCCCGGTACTGGTTCAATGACAGACACATAGACCAATGGAATAGAATTGAAAGTCCAGAAATAATCTATATATCTATGGTCAAATGATTTTTTTTTCCTCAATTTTTATTTAGAAAGTTCAATGAAACAACATGGTATCACAGTTTAGAAATATTTTAATCTCACTATAATTTAACATGTAACATCTACTAATTTTTGATTTTCAACAATGAAATTTATAAAAATAATTTTACATTTATAAAATGAATCATTATTTCACAATAAATTATTCATTTTTATTACTTGAAAAATGTTTTGCTCTATATAAAAGCAATAACTTCCCTTATCAATGTATTGAAAATATGTTGAAAACATTAATTCCTCCTTGTCTAGCATTTTTGGTAGTTCAGTATATAAATATATTATATTATAAATTCCCTGGCCATAGTTATTAAAACAAAATCGTTAGTAATAATTTCTAAAATATAGTTGTTTAGTAAATACATGCAGATAAATTACAGAATGCACTGCAAATGAATTTATGTTTTAAACTTTAAAGGCATATTTTCATGTCTTCTAAGAGAACAACACAAAAATAAACAGAAGTCTACAAAAGATATTTGTATTTATAAAAATCAAAAACATTCTTATTCATAAAATAGACACTACAGTGAATTTTCAAACAATTAGAGTAAAAAAAAAAAAGACTCCCTCTCTTTCTCTGAGACATAATTTACATTTCACAAGGATACTAGCTCTTGAAGAAATTTTATTGATTCCATTAAATCAATGAACACTTTTAGGTAATAATTTTTTCACTTTAAGAGTTCAATTTCACTTTACTAGCCAGTAAGTTAGTTAACATTAACAACCTTCCCCTTTTTTGTAGGATAACTAGGGGTTATAAAATCCTAATCTTAGGAATTTTGAAGCATCTTGAAACAAGCACTTAATTCCATATCTAAATTACAGCTTGGTGATACTCTTTTTTTTTTATACTCAACTGATAATTACTGAACCCGTTTTCTCCTGCTTCAGCAAATGTAGTGAGAGAGAGAGGTCACTCTGTCATGAGACAGCCCATCACTAATTGTTTTAAAATAAGCTTCAGCCTTAGATGATATCAAATAGTTCAGGTCTCCAATGAACTGAACTCTTCAGTCTGGAATTATACATTTCGTATATCGCTGGGCTGCTGGATTTTTTAAAAAATATAGTAAGTCACTTACTTGAATTTGTTTTATTCATATCCTAGGCAGTATATCCTTCTTTTTTTTTTTTTTAATTTGCTTAAAGGTTTTTTATTTTTTAAGGAGGAGACTCTTGTGAAAACTGGTTTCTTATTCATGAGGAAACCATTTTACACTTACCACTTATGTATAAAAATGTTATACATAATGTGATAAATAGCATTCAATCATCACTCAATTACGTATATTTAAAAACCGCCGTAAAAAGCACGTATTTTTTCATTCTGCACTAACAATTTACTCTCATTGAATGTAGCTCTCCACTCTTGAGGTTTATGGACTTTGGTTAAGCCTTTAAACTAAAGGTCTCTTTATTTAAAAAAGAGATAATACTATCTCTCTTACAAGGTTGTTGTGAAAATCAAACAAGGCAACAAGTATGGTAGATGACTAATTGTCTCCCTTTACTGGTTGTCCCAGAGATGTACAATCTTAGCTGGCACAGGGTTTCCAACTAAAGACTACTCTCCCAGCTTCCCCGGGAGCTAGATGTGGGCATGTGCTAAATTCAAGTCAGTGGGGTGCCTGCTTCACATTGTTTCAAGAGAGTGAAATAAATACCTCTCTTGTTTAAGCCACTTTTTTAGGGGTTTCTTTGTTACTGTAGTTTAGCCTGTATCCTAACTGATAAAACATATTAAGATCTTAGCATTGTTCCTCAAATACAGTCAGATCTCAAGAAATATTCAGTCATCCTTGGAATGGCTCTGTATAATTTTCTAAACATGAGATAGGTATATTTAACTATGGGCCAAAGAGATACATCTTGGTCACAGAATGCTCATAGAGCTGATTGGTTTGCAAAGAAATACCCTCTATTCTACAGTCACTCCTTCCTTTTTCTAATCTGCATGTTTCTACTTTGTAAGAACTTGCTTCATTTTATACTAATCTGGAATTTCTCATCTACTATTCTCGGTCAAAAAAGGACACTTAGTTCTGCATCACATCATGATAAAGCAATTATTTACAGATTTAAATTAACATTAACAAATAAAAGTAGTACATAAGATTCAACTGGTTTGAGTACAGTGCAAAAGCAGTGGGGAAAATACACTATATAAACATATCCAAACTCAGAGATACATTGGTTTTATCAGAAGGTTTTAAACAATAGCAACAACAACGAGCATACAAACCAGAAAACAGGATACCCTCTTACAACAGCACCATGGAGAAGCCTTGGCTAAGAGTTTGCCAAAAAGCACTATCCTGAGATATTTCAAGACCAGCAATCTTTCACATTTATGCAGTGCTGTTGGGAAGTAAACATAGTTTCACAATTGCTTTTGTTTGGGGAGAGATTGGTGTGAAATGACCGAAGCTTGGTTTGTAGTTATTTCGTACTGTTCTTGTCCAGAGCCTTGTGGTGGGGAAGGGAGTGGGGTTTCCGGAGTGGAGCTTTGGTCTGGATGAACCAATGTTGACATGGAGCTTATAGTTTGCCCAGTCAATGGATGTTGAGACAAATGTGGGTGCATTGGATAATGGAGATGACTAGCATCATTGGAAGCACCACCCAATAACATTTCCTGAAGTAGGTTGTCAATTTTAACCATCCCGAAAAGTTTTACGAATTGTATTTGCTCAATCATTTGCCAAGTGATGCTCTGGAGTATGGGCAGCAGCAGAAGCAGCTCTCCAAACCTCCCGTGGAAGTCGTACTGCCGGTCACTGATGTAGTCCTCCAAACTGACCTGAACTTGGAACCGCATGTTCTTAATGTTTATTGGGTCACTTAGCCCTTTTGCATCTGGATCAAAAAATACAATTACCTTCAAGCAAGCATATTCATTGTCATCAATCTGAATTATTTGAAATGGTCGGACTAGCTCATCTAGAATCTGATTGGCTACACCACTTATCTCCACTTCACAGCTGTTACCGTGAATAACATAGTTATTTCCTTTTGAGACTGAAGCAGCTTGGCTTCTTGTATCCCTTGTCTCTGCAGCTTCTGCTTCCTATGGCCTCTCGGCCCTCGGGCCTCACGCCCACATCTGCCCTGCTGGGGCAAGAGTTCCAAAGCTCAGTAGCTCAACTGATAAGTGCCCAGAGGCAACCCACTCCGCCAGGAAGCCTCCCGCACACAGGCACTCAGCTCTCTCGCTCCCTGGGTCGGCTCCAGTGCCATCTCGCACAGGTCTCCTGGTTCTGCTGCTGTTGGTTCTCTGCTGCCGTTGGTTCTCTGTTGTTGCTGGTCCTCTGTCACTGCCGCAAGTCTATCCATTCACAGTTTTAAAACCGCCTCCACATTTTAGGTATCTGTTAGAGCAGCACCCCACTCTCTCGATACCAAATTCTGTCTTAGTCATCTAGTGCTGCCATAACAGAAATACCACAAGTGGATGGTTTTAACGAAGAGAAGTTTATTTCCTCACAGATAAAGTAGGCTAAAAGTCCAAATTCAGGGCGTCAGCTCCAGGGGAAGGCTTTTTCTCTCTGTCAGCCTTCTTCTCTTCGGTGTTCCCCTGGACTAGGAGCTTCTCTGCACAGGGACCCCAGTCCAAAGGACGCCCTCTGCTCCCGGTGCTGCTTTCTTGATGGTATGAGGTCCCCCTCAACTGATTTTTTGACAAAGATGCTAGATGCTAAGTCCATTCCATTGGGAAAGAACAGTCTCTACAACAAATGGTGCTGGGAAAACTGGATTTCCACGTGCAGAAAAATGAAGCAAGATTCATACCATACACTATACATAAAAATGAATCTAAAATGGATTAAGGATATGTCAAAGGATTTGTTAAACATAAAACCATAACGTTCTTGAAAGAAAATATAGGGGCTAAGCTATGGGACCTAACTTTTTTTAATACTAGGCTATCAGTACAACAACAAATGCATGAGCAACAGAAGACAAAATAGATAAATGGGATATCATAAAAATTAAATACTTATGTTCATCAAAAGACTTTACCAAAAGAGTAAAAGGACAATCTACAGACTGGGAAAAAAATCAGGAATCATGTATCCAATAAGGGTCTGATATCTAAAATATATGTAAAATTTCTACATTTTAACAACAAAAAAATCCCAATCAAAAAATTAACAAAAAACATGAACACACACTTCACTAAAGAGGATATCCAAGTAGCCAACAGACACATGAAAAGATGTACACTGTCATTAGCCATTACCAAAAAAACCAAACCAGTTGCCATTGAGTCGATTCTGCCCCATAGCGACCCTATAGCCATTAGAGTAATGCAGATCAACACTACAATGAAATACCACCTCATCCCTGACAGAAGGGCAAAGATTAAAAAAAAAAAAAAAACCCAGAAAATAACAAGCATTGGTGAGGTTGTGGGGAGATCGAATCTCTTATCCGTTGCTGGTGAGAATGTAAAATGGTATAACCACTGTGGAAAACAGTATGGCAATTCCTCGAAAAATTAGATTTAGAACTACCATATAACCCAGCAATTCCACTCCGAGGTATATACCCTAGGGATCTAATAGCAGTGACACAAACAGACATATGAACACCTATGTTTATTGCAGTATTACTCACAATAGCAAAAAGATGGAAACGACCTAAGTGCCTATCAACGCATGAATGGATAAACAAAACGGGGTACATAATACAATGCAATACTTGCAACCATAAAGAAAATTGAGTTCCCAAAACAATGTGCAACATGGATGAACCTGGAAGATATTATGCTCAGCAAAATGAGTCAATCATAAAAAGACAAATATTGTATGATTTCACTTTTAGGAACGATAAGAATAGGTAACTATACAGAGACCAATTACCAGAGGTTGGGGAGTGGGGGTAGGAAGAGAGATATTCATTCTCAAGGTAGTAGTGAATTTTTGTTTATGGTGATGGGAAAGGTGACACTGAATGCGGGTGAAAATTGCACAACTTGACTAATGTAAGTGACATTACTAAGCTGTACATAAGAAAAAGAATGAATTGGCAAATGTTATCTTACAGATAATTTTGGAACAACAACAACTAAAAAAAGGGGTGGCCACAGCTGCTGATAGTATTTACACATAAGCAAATACCTCATGGGACTAGTTTTCTCAGTTTGAAGGATTAAAGACATGGTCCCGTGGGACAATTGGCATAATATTCTTTTTAAAGATTCAACAGTACTTCCCAGATCTGCAAATAGTGTGTCTGGAGACTTACAAGCTTTTGAGTGGCCATCCAAGATACAACAACTGGTCTCTACTGGTCTGTAGCATTGGAGGAAGAAGGAAGCCCAAGAATCAGCAAAGCAACTGAACTATAAAAACAATAGCCTCCATGAACCACTGCTTCGTCTTAAGAGGAGACCAGAACAACTGGATGGTGCCCGGCTACCATTAACAAACATTTTGATCGCCAACACAATAGACGAGTCTCGATGGGAATGGAAAAAATATGGAACTGAACTTTAAATTCCCAAAGAATCCAGACTTTGTGGATCCACTGGGGCTGCAGGAACTCCCAAGACTATTGCCCTGGAATACTCTTCAAACCTTGAAATGAAACAATCCTCTGAAGTCATCTTTAAACAGAAACAGTTTAGTTCAAAAAGTAAAGAATGTCATTATTAAGTACTGTATTAATTTTTTTGTTTGTTTTTATGTGTATGAGACCACAGTAACAAAACATGGATGAGAAGTTTAGCAGGCAGTGAATCTAATTAATGAGGGTGAAACAACTAGAGCAGAAATAATGAGATTGTTGACAAAACATGAAGAATGTAACCAATGTCAATGAACAATATGTGTAGAAATTATTAAATGGGAACATGTTCTGATGTGTATATTTTCACATCAAAAATAAAATAAAATTTTAAAAAATTAAATGAAAAAAATTACAACCGAAAGATGCTATAGATGAAATGAAGAACACAGTATATGGGTTTATGAATAGAAGAGACCTAAGTAGGGAGAGATATATAAATTAGAAGTGAGAAAAATATCCAACCTAAAGCACAGAAAAAAGAGAGAATGGAAAATACATAAAACAGCAAAAGAGAAATATGAATCACTGTACAGACCTCTGATACATATATATAACTGATGTCCCAGATAGAGAAGAGAGAACGGAGCAGAAGCAATATTTAAAGAGAAAATGGCTGAATATTTTCCAAAACTGATTAAAGATAGCAAACACAGATTCAAGAGGGCTATGAACTCTAATCAGGGTGACTAAAAAGAAAACTACAACTAGATACAAAAAGTAAAACTGCTGAAAGCCAAACAGAAAGCTAAAAGGAAAAAAAAAAAGAACTTAAAAGCTGCCATATTATCCTTAAAGGAGAAAGAAATAGTCAAGCTGAAGGTCAATTCCTCAGAAGCAGAGGATGAAATGACACCTTCAATGTGCTGAAAGATAATAATTTTCACCCTAGAATTTTATGGAAAAAAAAACAGCTTTCAGAGATGAATATGAAATAAACATATTATCCAAAACAAAAAAACTGAGTTAATTTGTAGCAAATCCGTAATAAAGGAGATTACTGCTTAGTACCACATTCCTTAAATATGTAAATAAGACCAATTATGGGAATATGGTTAAAAAACTAAATTCTAATGTCATAAACCTTGACCGTGTAGGAAGAATAACATCAATAACTAAAATCCAGGGGACGGGGTGAGGGTGGAGTTGATAGAATGGGTGAAACCACTCATGCCCTTCTGAAGGAAAGTCAATAGAAATGGCCTAAAACTTTAATAGGTGGTTTTACAGGCAGTTTTAAAAAGCATAACGACTCCAACTTTTAAAGGAGTATCATAATATCATTTTGTTTTTTCTCTCACTTTTTTTTAATTGTGGTAAATGTATATGTAATGAATGATTTATCATTTTAAAATCACAGACGGATCTTTTAGGATATTTCTTACAATGAAGAAATTATTTGATGTTCATTATTTTTCAATTTAACTTCAAGTAAAATTAAATTTAACCTTGCTGTTAAAATAGCATGTACATATGAATCCATTTTATACAAACACACACACACGGGTGTATATGTATATATATAAGTAAATATATATATATGTTTATTTTTAAATGTTCATCTAGCTACAGACCCATTCATCTCTCTGGGTATCTAGAATAACATTTAACTGTGTTAACAATAAAAATTTATTGATAGTGAGAATTAGGTTCCTATCTTTAAAAACATCCATCTCTCTGGATAGCTACAATAACATTCAACTACATTAACAACAAAAATTTATGGATGGTGAGAATTTAGTTTCTTCATCTTTGTACTGAGTAACAATGTTTACTTTAAAGGAAAAAAAAAAAAAAAGCAATCTCAAAGCTACTATGCCCAAATTTTAACAGTAGGTAATTTGCAGTAGGGAATATGAATTATCCTATTTTTTCTTTTGTAGCATTCTGCATAGTTTTAAAATTTCACAAAAAGGAAAAGTGTTTGGGTGCCTTTATTTAAGCTACTCTGTCACAGATGAGGAGATAGATAGACGTGAACTGAGGGATATTACTCAAACTGGTCATTTTTACCAGGAATTATTCAGGCTTATCTCCACCCTGAACACATCTTGTCAGAGCTCATCAGAACTAAGAAAATCCTGGGACATGGAATCTTGTTGCCACTGATACCCAACAAGAGATGTGAGAGTAGTGATGTCCTTTCTGGGCCTGAACCAACTTGGCTTTATTGTATTCCAACCCCAGCCAAGCTGCATTGCAAAAACTGCTCCTCTTATTTCACAATGTGCTATACTTCCATTTTCTCTTTCCAACACCAATTTGGCTCTTTTTTTTTTTTTTTAATATATCCCAGTAGCAACAAAAAATACTAGGTTCATAACAGGAACTGAGTCCTTATCTAGCAAAACCCTCACGTTAAAATCTATATGGTACAGCATGGTAGAGCCTGTCGTCACCACTAAACAGCTGAGGACACAGAAAGGTGTTTGTTCTGAGAC